TATTCATGCATCACCAACCCGCTGGTGACGTGGCGAAAATGATTGCTGCCACTGAAGCAGGGGAAGTCCATCGACGCGATATTCATCGATTACAGCAGAGCATTCGGCAAGGTAAACCATGAGGTCCTCCTTCGCAAGCTGAGAGTATGTTGTGTTGGTGGCTCATTTCACCAATGGATCTGCGACTTCCTCGTTAGCCAAAAGTATAGGGTGCAACTCAATAGCCACCTGGCCGACTGATCTCTTTCGACCAGTGGTGTGCCCCAAGGCACGGTGCTGTGACCTCCATGGTTTCTGTTTTATATCAACGATCTACCTCAGCTTCTTAGGTCCCCGTGCACCCTGTTTGTGGACGACCTGAACATGTGCACTTCCGACGAATTCGACCTATTTCAGCAAGACCTCAAACATCTTTCCATGTGGTCTGAAGAAGTCCGCCTCCCAGTCAATCCATTCAAGTCGGTATTCATGAGTCTGGGAAGGGTGGTGACGGCCGAACCTATATTCTTGATGGCCAAATGCCACATACCACATCTTCTGTGAAAGCTCTAGGCGTGCTGTCACATTGCGATTTTATGTCCGTGGATAACACAAACAATCTGTGCCGAAACGGACTGCCCATGCTATGGGCTCTCAAACGCAGTTTCTGCATCTTGTCTGAAGAGATTGCCACTTGATTCTTCTTCTCCATCATTAGACCAATGCTAGACTACGACTCGCTCGCTTATTGCTCGACCACTCGAGGCGATGGCTGGAAAATCGAATGGGTCTAACACGTAGCTGCCAGGCTCATCCCTAGTTTTCGGGGCTTACTGTACGAAGACAGGTGCGAGAGGCTTGTACTGTACACCCTGGCCTATCGTCGGATGTGAGCCGACCACATCATGACCTATCACATTCTACATTTAGGTGAACTCTTCATACTGAGGTCACTGTTCCAATTGCGAATACCTTGCAGCACATGCAGACACCAGTACAAGCTTGTAGTTCCGGTTTTGAGGCGAGTTCCCCATCCCCTGTTCTTTGAACAACGAGTGGTCAATGTTTGGAACAGTTTGCCAGAGCATATCCGGGAATCAAACTCGATGCAGTAGTTCAAACCATTGCTGGATATAGTGTTCGATTCCGATAATGATTACCCACTGACAATGATTTCTCGCATTTGTGGGTTCAAATTTACTGTGAATTACAGAGGAGTAGTAGGGAGAGTTGAATGATATAGGTAAAAATTCGTCATATCTAGACTCACTCAGACAGCCATCATACGCCCGGAAAAGCACTGTACGCGTGTTTCGTCTTTTTCGGAATCGTCACCAGTGTACATTCCATCTGACCCAGGACAAGACTCCCCTCTTTTCTGCACAGCATTAACGTGCAAGTCAGTGGATATTGAGCAGCGCTATCTCACATCTAGTAACTTATTCACAATGGTCGTTGCCGTAGCTCAATGGTCTCCACCACGGACGCGCAACGGCGGAGTTGCGGGTTCAAGCCCCATCTGAGTCCGATAGAATGCGCACTGCTGACGATTCCCGAAAGGATAAAACGCGCGCACAGTGCTTTTCCGGACGTGTGGTGGCTGTCTGAGTGAGTCTAGATGTGGCGAAGTCCTACTTATTACTGTGAGTTCTATGTTAATTTTTACGATACCGTGATAAAACATGAAAAACGTCCAGTGTGTTGACAAGTCTTAGGTAGGTTCTTTAGCGTTTTGATCAGATTTTGATGGAGTTGTACATATTTGAATTTCTACTTACTGTCACAATACAGCACTCAGTATAATGGATCGCTCTTCCGGATCCATATTGATCACACAAATACAACCTATAGATTGGGCCTGTCACTGCGACCTATCCGATCTACTCAAACTTCCATCATGCCTTAGAGCACGCAAGGTTGAAAAAGAAGCAGAACTGCCAGGGAAGGGTATTGGTGACAGGAAATGGTGATCTGATGCCGCCTTCTGGATCCCCATCTCAGCACAATTGTTTCGTTCGCGTTTCCCTCTTCACTCATCACAGCAAACAACAGCTTAAACTCTTCTTTCTTACACAGTGGTCTGCTCTACGATGCACCGGAATGCATGTTCAACTAAGATGTTTCACTATAGCTGTCTAGTTTGTAAAAAAAAGTGAGCATCACTGGTTCAGTCTTCCTACAGCCTTTTTTATCATTCTAACTCTTTTTACACGTTGACTAAAGATGTGAAACACCTCTGTTATTGTGTTGCAATGCAATTCAGTTAGATCTCGGCAAAAAGGAATAAAAACAACCACAAAAGCACACAAAATATTGACATGCTTTTATTGTCTTACGCACCAACGATCGGTTCGTGATTGGAGAGGGAGACGAAGCGGGTAACAGAGAGGCAACAAACCAATACACAAGCGCCATCAAAGTCGGCTCTTTACCTATTCAAAAATTGTCGCCAATCAAGCGCATTCTTCATCTTCTGGACCCCAACCAGGGAGTCGGATGCTGCAGTCAAGACCAACTTTGAAGTGGGAGCATTTATTTCTCTTGACTAAATCGTCGACTGGCCTCCCCTCCTATCCACACTCCGGTCGCGCAAACAACGCACTTCACGGGACTTGGTGGGTTAGCATGCGTAACACATGGTTCAGTCATCAGAGCCTAGTGCTTGAAATGTGGATGCTGAGCCATTCACTCCTCTATCTGCACTATAAGCCAGATGTCGTGTACGCTCACTGTTCACGTGGTGTTCCTACCAGATTTGGGTTTAACTGCGAAGACGCCAGTGATCGAGCGTAACTAGCTTATTTGACTGTCGATCTGATGGGCTAGGTTTCGGACCCGTACAGCATTACAGACTGTACTTTTTAGAGAGAGTGATTCACACTGGCGCCGCAATTCATACAAGTTAACGGAAGTACCGCGATCTTTTGCTATCCGGTTCATAGGCACTAGCAAGCTGACCAGCTAGTTAGATTTCTGAAAGATTTCTAGTTACTCTCTATGAAGTGCCAGTGTAGGGACTGGTCCCTGTTAATTCTGAAAAAAGGCTTTGGATTTTGAGAGTGCAAAGCACAGTCCAAAACAGCTGACCATCAGTGTTACTCTGTCCAGTGTTTGGCACGTTCTTTAGCTGTCACGGATGAGGGCAATAAGGTCGGCATATTCCAAGTCAGCGTAGCTGTTCTTCCGGTCGCAGTGAGGCTGGTATTTAACGTGGTGTAATTGTTTGTGTGCCTCAGCGATCCATTGAGCCAACTGGGTGGGGCCTTTGCACTTCAGCCGCCCCTCTGACTCGAGAGGGATTGAAAAGTGACTAGATAGAGTGTAGTTGGAACGCGATGCTAAGGATGAGAAGGCTTGAGCATTAGCATGTTTGGTCCGATACGCCGGTTGACATGGCAATGAGCCGACTTCAATATCAATTGTATCGTGTGTTTCTTTGTTCCTCTCCGTCTTGCTTATCCTCCCCCTTCAACCACCATCATTCTACCACTGGTTAGCCTTGAAGAAAAGACGAAAGGAGAAATATAGAAAAGGAGGACAAATATTGCAACCTGGTACCACTTCGTGTAGTCTGGTCACTTGTAAACTAGCGCTCGCTTTAGAACAAATAAATCGTTTTGTACTTCCTCAAAAGGAATCTACTCGGACACAGATCGGCAGATCAGTGATCCGTGGACTAGTTATGAACTCCAAGGAAGTTTTAGGGTGGCTGTTAGTTGCTACTCTTCGGCTGTCATTTTAATGGGGGTCCCGTTCGAGAATACTCATCTCTTACATTTGACCCGGTAGTCTGCCTCTCAAGGCAATGGGGAGTAATTCTAGCTCGCGCATTTGATTGTAGAATCTCACTAGCTTCTGCACAAGTTAGTCACATTCAACCACTGAGGTTTTCTGGTGTCGTTGAAGCTTAAACTGCCTGAAAAGTGACCTAGCTTAATTCAATGCTTAACTGAAGTACACAACCTTTCACACTATTCTAAGACCAACTCGTTACGGTGGTTGAACGAAACTCCGAGTTCAGCTGCCCGTCTTGGTGTAGTGTATGTAAGGCAATTGTTGAAAGACGGTCGCTTATATTTGATCACTTGGGTGTAGACCTTGGGACCGATCATAAGGGCATTCTTGCATGCTTTCATCCTCCACTGTTTGTCTTCTCGGTTGGCAAATCCAAGATCTATCACCTGTCATCTCTTTCCACGTTTCTTCCCTCGTTTCACTGTTATTTTATTGCTATTCTGCTTAATCGACCAATTGCACAGATGTACATTACATCTTGGTCTTCCAATCGTGTTTGATGATGCGGAACTTATCATTCCCAGCCAACATACCCACATTACCCTGATATTTCGTTTATCTCCATGCCAGTCAACGTTTAGATTAGCTGCACAATCCATCGAATTTACATTTGGTTCGCCTAGTAGTGATCAGTAGCACACTTTGCTGTCCTTTTTCTTATGAATCGCTTGTCTTAGTTGAAATTAGTTCCTCATTGCGCAAGCCACTCTGTTTCTATGATCCACCCAAGTTTTGTATTTCAACGAAAACTGGCTATTTAAGCCATGTCTTCCCTCCTCTTCAGTCAACACTGCTACTCTGAACGCGATTTCAGTTCTAAACAAATCGTATTGATTTTATCCTTAGCAGTAATGCATCTTACATCTCGCTATGTTTACATCCACAAAATATCCCCGTATCACACTTCTGCACAAGCTTCATCCCTCTGTCTAATGCTCACTGAATCAAGCGCGAAATCAACGTTCGTTTCCTTTAAATATTCCCCTGAACTCACTCCGCTATCACATATATAGGTCTCGAATTTCCGGTCATGCCTCAATCGCCAACGATGCCTGTGTTATGTCGCCGATGAGTTTTCTATCCAGTCCTCTCTCCCAAATCGTCTATTTCTTGTCCTCTTTGCCTGCCTGCTCTTCACCACTCCCTGCAACTTAGATTTTCATGGTTTACTCATTGTGGCTCTTGGTTAACTCGAATTCCCCTGTTTGAATTATCTCACTCCCTAGATCAAGGCCTGCAGTCGTGGAGGCGGATGCATCATCGAAGGCAACCAGCGGAAACACTGTCCATCATGTCGATTGGAGAAGTGTTTTCTAGTCGGTATGAAGCGGGAGTTAATTTTGCGTAAGCACACACATCTCCCTTTGGTTTCGCACTTTGTTCGGTTCATTTTCCCTTGATATTATTGTTGTTGGAAGGTTCTACAGCAGGACTTGGTGTTTCCCATTTGTCACCTCATGCCGATCAACTGAAAGCACTTGCTACTGTCCGCGAATAGATGTACCTTTAACCGACTTCGTTGAGTCGTCGTCTGCGTTGGTCAGAGGGCTTTTCTGTGGCTTAACTGAACATACGCTTAGTGACTGAATTTGCGTCATGTAACTGTCAGTGCCTATGTATGCTTTGCAATTCCGAGTGTGATTTGCGCATGGATTCTACCTTTCGCCATCAATTTTAGCTCAGCTCAACCGATCGGGACGTAATTGGTCTCCGACGAACGCGTGCCACGTTTCATGCGTCAGTAAGCAGTCACATACCACCATCACTTTGACTCAAAACTAACCCATCTAATTCATCTGTGGTGCACGATCCAGATCGGCGATCGCTGTCCAGAGTTGAGCCGTGCTCCTCTCACATCGTCTCTTGCGAGTTCCGACTATGTGGAGACCATTTCATCCACTCGTTTCCACTGCCAGATCTTTATTGCTTTGTCTCTACTCTGAAACTATACCGTTCCCACTTAAGACCTCTTATGCACAACAACCTATGACTACGACAACTGCCTTCCGTAAGGTTTCTGAACTTATCTTTTCCACAAATGTGGTCAACTGATTGCAGTGCCTATGGGAGATTCTCTTTCGAAGGTGATTCGGTGTTGCTCCTCTCAACACTGACAGTGTCAGTGTAGGGAGGAGCAACACCGAATCACCTCCATTTCAGATACAGTTCCTGTGATCGGAATGACTAAGGTCTCAATGGACGTTGCGTGTCGCAATCCAACCACACGGCTGATGCTTCACATCCAACTTTGATTTGACACTAAATATGTTCTTGTTAGACGGTCCCTTCTGCTATATTCAGTGGCCGTTTGCCAACATCGTTGTTTCTCTCTGTCCGACTTGTTTACATCCCATTAGGTCGGGCAGCCTACATCCGACTCTCCTAAATCGACTAAATTTCCGCAATTCTCTTTTTTAACCACGTCTACACGCGCACGCCATTCGCAAAATTTATCGCACTCATCGCTTGCGTCGTATACATTCTCCTATCTGTGCTTTCCATTCTGAATCTTTCGGCACTACACGGACACTACCTTGTTGTCTACTTCGGTTTGACACTCTGAAGTGCGTACACTTTTTTAGCACTTAACTAGACCGATGTCGAATCGTCAGTTGATTTTCTCATTTTGTGCACCATATCTCATCGGTGTGGGTAGCACACCCCCGGAGCGGTTGACATACAAGAAAGACGGTTGGTCAGCTCGAGAAGCAACATAACACCGTAGCCTCTTACTCATGTTTGTTTGTTTCGCCAGCTGTACGCCGTAACGGCGCTTCGCTGCCACGCGACCAACGCCAGTCGCACGCGGGATGAGTATACCACAAGGACACCCACCCCCACGCGGATTCGAACCGGCGACCTTATAATTGCAAACCTGGCGCGCAGACCACTTGGTCACCGTCCGACCTCCTTACTCACAATCACCACCCTCCGCGCTAATCTGCTTGTCACCATCCGTTCAGTACAACTGGGAGTGCTCCAAGTTCAGTTCATTTGAACAACTATGATCCGGGCAGCGCACTGCGGTGAATCCAGTTGCCACGACGCAAATCGCCAGAATAACAACGGTAAGAAAATGAGCTTAACCGCAAGTAAGATATAAAGAAAATGGAATCAAAATGTGCATCAACCTAATCGGGATGGAGTGAAAACTAGCGGCTAGATGCAAAAATGTGATGTGGCTATGCCACTAACTACACGACTGCGATAGTGTATCCAACCATTTTGGGGCCATCATCCACGAAGACGGTGCAGAGTGCTCCAAATGCAATACTCCCTACTCGTGTTCGCATCACCGGTGTTCCCCTGTGAATCACCAGAAGTTGTCTCTCCAATGAGGAATGAGGAAGCAATGAACGGTATGCCTCATGTCGGACCCGAATACCTCCAGTTCCAATTCGTCCACGCCTTACTAATGACGCATCATCACAAACAGCTGGCTGTCGTGTTGCGTCTACGACGTCCTCAGTGAGATAGGTTTCCTGATACTTTCACTGCCTCATGTCATGATCAACCCCACCTTGCATATACACTTTAAACAGGCACTCAGTCTACCTTACGGCACCTATCAAGCCACCGTGAGTGTTTACAAACCAAATCCTCTAACTTCTCATGTCGACCAAAAGATTACTAGCATGAGTATCATCCTGGAAGACAAAACTGCCCAATAACAATCAGTTTATTATTCGGTTACTTGGTTTTCTTCTTCCAAGTCAACGATTGCTCCCTCGAACCTCACTTCATTTCAGAGCTAACAAATACTGTTCTTCGGTGAACAGGTAACCATATCATGTACCCCAACCAACCTCATTTGCCATGCCTTATTTGTCGGCTTGAGGAACCAGCCTGATCATCTCTGCCCAGTACTCCTGTGCTAAACAATCCTAACTAACCCAACCAACGTGATCATCGATCGACCGCTATCGAGCAATGTATTGAACACTCCGTCATGGCCGGAGCAGCGTTCGCATTCAGCATCATGGGTTGACGCAGTACGGTTGTTCACCTTCAGGCCTGTAGCCCAACCTGATCAAATACATAGATTCTGGAAATGTGCCCATTCTTTTAACACCGCCTTGCAACAGAATGTAACCTAGAAACATAGATTACCGGAGTGTACAAGTTTTGACTAACATTTGCCATTTGGCACAGCTAGATGAGCACTGCCTTCCGAACTGTGTTTCAGCGCGTTGGCTGTACAACCAAGTTACAGTGCGTAGCGATTGTTTGTCACTCGTCTGTCCCCAATCCACTTTTGAATGGAGTGCACTGATTACGGGAATCTTGCGCAAGCTCATGTACAATACCTCAGTACGCCCGTTGACCACCGACTTCCTTGGCGTGTATTATACTCTGTGGCCCGCACCCAGTTGGTCGAAACCACGAGGTGACCAGTCTCGGACGTTGTATAGAAGCATGCGGAAATTGATTGATAGACTTGGTCAGGCTGGTGCATGCTGCATTCGTGGATGCGGCAGTCGGGGTGGTCCACACCAATGATTGGGGACCGTATCAAACATATCACAGTCACGCAGTCAATAACGTTCCTTTATTCGGTTTCTTACATCTGGTTGTTAATTTTAATTCCATTCTGTATAGTTTAACACGCCCTGACCTTTCCATTCTGTTTGCATTCAACTTCATTTTCTTGCCGCCCTTATTTGTTGTTGCTCTCGCCATGCGAGTCGGGGCAACTGGATCCTCCGCACTTCAGTTTCCGGATCGTAGTTATTCAGTGGAACTATGCAATACCTCAGATCATCATACCATCCTCTGAACTTGAACACTCGAAAGCCTCGCCTATGCCCGATCAGTCTGGCTAAACAGCTCCGACTCAGGTTCCGAGGTACGTTGTCACTTTAATAGATGTTTTCGGAAGCAAACAAGAAGCTTATGAGAAAATAGTTACGAAAGGCACCACAACTAACCGAAAGGAAGTGCTAACTTAGAGCAAGATATTAGGTGCAAACCACCGCTAACTGCGCGGCTACACCATTGATGGGCCATGTCCGGAGGCTTTTTAAAAGTTTCATACAACCATTTCCCTTTCAGAACTTTAAAGGTGCAAGAAGGAAAAACCTTCCAGCCGGCAGGATATCCTGAATTAAGTATATTTCGCGTATTCTCATTCAGCCGCACACATACTAATAGTGAACACTAAACGAGCGGAAGTGAAAGGAAATCAATACCAAAAATCCATAATCGGTTGTGGCAGTATCTCTTCACAAAATATCATAGCTTACCACGACAGAGCAAGACTGGCCACAAGTTCCAGTTGCTTGTATAGGTTAGGCTTTAGATGCTGAATGACGGTGGCCTCAGAGAACCTCAGCAGTTTAGGATTACTTTGCCTGTTTAGAACTTTGAATGCTTCTCGGGGTTTTTGACACATTGTACAGTCAAAAGGTGCCCAGCAGTTGAGCTAGCAGGTAGTTTCCCACCAGTCAGATTACGCGGGATATGCTCCGAAATTCGGGTTGACAGTCTTATCTCAGTCCGGCCATGTACATGCTACCGCATGTACAGTCAAACTGGTAGATGCAGGAGACGGTAACTTGAGAGTGAGGCCTTTCTAGATTGGATTCGTGTAACAACTTTCTGATTTGATGCAGCAGCACGAGCTCAGCTGCAGAATAGGCTTTTATCCACGTAGTAGTTGGTCACCACTTTGCTTTCGAGATTTCATCATCTGTGCCGCCTCCTGTACAGCCCTTCGGTATGTTTGCCATAAAAAGCCATTAAATGGCATGTTTTCTTACGCGTTCAGTCTCTTTGATGACCCGTAATTCCAGTTTCTCGCGACGGAAACCATTGTAGCGTCCCATCATCTTGCATTATCTCTATTCATCCGCAACGCTTTGGGTGTTTATCTAGACTGTTCGCCAATTCGTTGTACTTTCTTATGAAATGGCCAAGTTTCCAGCTGTCATTCTCTCCCTCCGTCTGATGAATGACTATGTTGGATAGTGCGGTCACCGCGTCTTCAGTGCTTCTCAACCTTCTTCACTGATCATCTGTACCTAGCTAACGACCAGTTTCCATTAGAAGGGCGACGGACAACTTTAGAACATTCAGAGTATATAGCTCTCTTTGACCGTCGACAGATGTATAATGGACATTCCGTCTCTTGTTCACATCCGGCTCTTTCTGTCAAATCCCGTCTGGACTGTTTTCTGCCGCCGACTGGATCTTGCACCCTCTCGCGTAGTATGTTCTGCCTGTATCTTCGCCTCCGTTCTGCTCATTCGCATTCACCACAGTTACAATCACGCCATTGAGCCTACAATTTCCTGGCATATTACGCAACCCACTTGGTTGACCTCACGTACTATGTTCTTCCCTTT